TTACAGAACTAGTGATGTTAAATTGATGTTATATGTATTTTATATTGACAGAACTACTGATGTTAAATTGATGTTATATATATTTTATACTAACAGAACTACTGATGTTAAATTGGTGTTATATATATTTTATATTGACAGAACTACTGATGTTAAATTGGTGTTATATGTATTTTATACTAACAGAACTACTGATGTTAAATTGGTGTTATATGTATTTTATATTAACAGAACTACTGATGTTAAATTGGTGTTATATATATTTTATATTGACAGAACTACTGATGTTAAATTGGTGTTATATATATTTTATATTAACAGAACTACTGATGTTAAATTGGTGTTATATATATTTTATATTGACAGAACTACTGATGTTAAATTGATGTTATATGTATTTTATATTGACAGAACTACTGATGTTAAATTGATGTTATATGTATTTTATACTAACAGAACTACTGATGTTAAATTAGTGTTATATGTATTTTATACTAACAGAACTACTGATGTTAAATTGGTGTTATATATATTGTATATTGACAGAACTACTGATGTTAATATGGTTTTATATGTATTTTATTTTATGTATTTGGCTGTTTTGTATTTAGTTTGCTTTGTACTTAGTTGATCTAATATTTATTTGTTTTGTATTTAGTGTATCTGTTTTGCATTTAGTTTATTTACTTTGTATTTGTTTTGTTTTGTATTTAATGTATCTGTTTTGTATTAAGTTTGTTTTGTATTTAGTTGATGTAATTTTTATTTAGTGTATCTGTTTTGTTTTTAGTTTATTTGGTTTTGTATTTGGTTGATCGAATTTTTATTTAGTGTCTCTTTTTTGTTTTTAGTAAGGGTTAGTGTTTTGTATTTTATTTACCTTTTTGTATCTAATTCATCTGTTTTGTATTTGGTTCATTTGTTTTGTATTTAGTTTATCTGTTTGTATCTTTTCTGTACTTTCCTAGAGAAAATCTTGCTTTAAACTAAAATAATAAAAGAAATAGTTTAAAGAATGCTGACTTTTCTTGTACAAAACTTAGAAGGAAATGAAAAATATCAGCTGAGGTTTGAGGACAGGCACGCCCCACCCACCCCTCCCCTTCAAATTCGAAATTCTCAAAGCTGAAATCAAGCTCTATCAGCTATTGTCCCCCATGCAAATGCGGCCGCCCCTGTGGCACATTGGGCTGGTTACGGGCCTGTTCAAGGGGGCTCACAGGCTCTCATGTTGTGTCCAGAGGGAGATTTAAGCATTTTGATACGCCTTAAAAATCATTTCTTATATTGGCTTTGAAATCTTTTCACCCCTCAAATCAAATTTCTAGTGGTTTTATTTGAAAATAAAAAAGATACCCCTGGCCAGAAAAATAGAGGAAGTCTAGGATCCCTGAATAATGTGAGAATAGAAATAGAAATCAAACCAGGATTTATTTCTAATCATTTATTAAAAGCATCAGTCTAAGATATAACAATAGAATTCAAAACATAACAATATTATTTTATGAATGATTGAAAAATGATCAAAGACGATCTATTCCGAAGCCATGAACTGAAAGATAAGATGACATGAGATAAGATGAGATGACATAAGATAAGATAATTCGTGAACTGGAAAGATTGACATGAGATAAGATAAGATAAAATGACGTAACATACGATAAGACAGCTGACACCAAATCTTTAAAAAAAAAAGAAATAAAAAAATGTATATTACACGGACAACAGAATAGCTTTGCAACGAAAAAACAAAGCATAAATTCTGAGAAAAATAAATAAAACTAATATGGATGAAAAAAAAAAAACATCAAAAACTAAATATTCCTCTATATCCATCTTCTGAAGAAATTCTTCTGAATTTTCCCTTCTGGGAGACAAAACTTTTAAACAGAGAATTTTATAGGTTGAAAGAATTTCCTAGGCTATTATGAAACAGAGAATTTTATTGATATACAAAACATCTAGTTCAATGAGATTGACTGGGCATTTCATTTCACCTTCTTCTAGACCCCGAAGTCGTCACAATTAGTCGAAATCGTCAGTCGTATTTTATATTTTAGTTGTCATCGAGTTTTTTTTTCAACTAGTTGAAAACCCTTATAGTGTCCTCAGGAATAGGTGTCCTTGAATCAACAACTAAGCTTTTATCATGCATGGAATATGTAGTATTAGCCTATTAGTGCCATTTTGCATCATAAATTAAATGTGTATCTTAAAAGTTCCTTTATTGAACAGTTAGCTGAATACATTCAAGTATATTCTGTATAATATATGTAATATATATTTAAAATTATATAGTTAATAACTGATTAGCACATTGATTTATTTGCATAGCAATTGAAAAAATCAGTCACATTTTTTTCAAAAGTCAGTCACAATTTCATTTGTGACTGAATTCGGGGTCTACCTTCTTCCCAATTTAACATCAAGAGTTTAGTTTTCACGAAACACTTTCTTTACGATCATCTTCCTCGTCAGAATCT